TTTTCGGAACCGGGGATTGAACTCAGGCCCTTGGGCTTGCCAGGGAAGCGCTTATTCCACTGAACCATCTCCCCGGGCCCTGCACAGACATTTTAAAGGCTTTGAGATCTTTTCTTGGATCACATTTGTTTAGCTTTTTTTTTTAATGTATTTGGTACAGGATCTCACAACACAGCTCAGACTTGTAATGATCCTCCTGTCTCAGCCTCCCCAGTGCTGGGGTTACAGGCGTGCATCGCCACGCCTGGTCTCCATGGTTGGCTCAGTGTGTGCAGAGGCGGGGCTGGCGAGGCCTGTGGTGCCCAGGATCAAACCCAGGCCCTGCGCCTGCCTAAGCAGTGCTTAGTCCACCGAGCTATCTTGCCAGCCCTGTGTGCAGCTTCATTTTCTTGTGAATTTCTGACTCTTCATCCCCAGATCAGCTATGTGTGATGGATGTCTTTCAGTTTCCTGTCCTGTCCTGTCCTGTCCTGTCCTGTCAGCAGCGTCTGTCCACTGAGTGAGGGACTGCTAATAATGTTTTGAGATCTGCAGGACTGTTCAGCGTGTGCTGGGGGAGGCAGGAAGCCACAACTATCTTGCTCAGGTTCTCTGTTTGCTGTCACCCCAGAGGGATTTCTTTGTTCTCAAATAGAATTTTCAGACTTCACTTTTAGAAATCAGTTTCCCAGTCTTGCTAATCAGACCATAAACAGTGATTTTTAGAGAAGGGCAGGAGGCTGAAGTGGTCTCATGAAATGGGTAAAAAGGTCAAGGCTTATTATAATCTTAAATCAAAGATAGTGCCTTTCATTTTTATTATTCCTAACAACAATCAAAAGGATTATGTCTGTGTATCTGACCTCCTCTTGTAGTGATAGGACTCCAGTAAATTTTCCATGTTCTCTTTCCCCCCGTCGCATTTGTTTTCCTGCGCTGCAGATTACAGACACTGGCTACATTCTGTTTGGGTTTCTTTGTGCCCTGTCAGCAGCCATCCTTGTTCTGAACACATGCTTTTCACGCTTCAAGCTGCCCCAGCGACCCATTCTGGGAAAAGG